TCGCTTATAAAGTAAAACTACTAGCTACACCTTTTTTATCTCCTTCGATAAAAGGCGTCGCCCTAGACCGACTCTATACCTATAGGGTATTTTAGGTACTATTTATAATTAGAGATTCATAAGGCACTATAAAGATAGTGAAACGAGCCTATATCGGTATCGATAGGGACCCGAGACTTAAAGGGAGTCCTATCCTCCTATCTAGGACCTTTATTAATAAGTTCGACGTTATCTTATATCCTAGTGTTAATAAATAGTGGTTCGGAGTCAAAGACTTTAAGCTCTAGAAACCTTACAAATTTATAAAACAATCTAGAAACGCCGCTATTATCTACGCCTTAATTAAAATGCTAGAAGACGTATAGCTACCCGATAAAAGTATAGGCGAATCTAAATTAGATCGGGACCGAATCCCTCCCGAATTGGAAGAGTATCTTAATATATTCGATTATAAAAAGGCGGGTACACTACCGAAGACGAAAACCTCCGACTATATAATTGAGCTCGAAGAAGGTAAAACTCTACCTTACGGTCCGATTTACCCTCTCTTACGAATAAAGCTTAAAGAGCTATAGGCTTACCTTATCGACAATATTAAAAAGGGGAGAATTAGACTATTAAAGAGCCTAGCGGGAGCACTAATCCTATTTATCCTAAAGAAAGACGGAGGTCTACGTTTATACGTAGATTACCGGGGTCTTAATCGCGTTTCGATTAAGAATCGCTACCTATTACCTCTTATTTCGGAGATCCTTAACCGCCTCTTAGGAGTAAAGTATTTTAGCAAAGTCAATATTAAAGATACTTACTACCGGATTCGCTTATAAGAAGGTGACGAATGGAAAACGGCTTTTAGAATAAGGTATAGCTATTTCGAATATATAGTTATACCTTTCGGCCTATTAAATGCACCGGCGACGTTCTAGAGTTATATCTATATAATACTAGTAGGGCTAGTCGACGTTATCTATATAGTATACCTAGATAATATCCTCGTTTACACTAAAGATAGAGAATCCTATATAGTAGCACTTCGCTAGATCTTTAAGAGGTTATAAAAGGCTAAACTCTATATTAAACCTTTAAAATATATATTCTACTAGAAGGAGGTCGAGTTTCTAGGGTTTATCGTAGACGGTTCGGGGGTAAGAATAGACTAAGACTGTATCCGTATAATCTAGGAATAGGAAGAGCCGAAAAGCTACTACAACGTCTAGGTTTTCCTAGGATTTTACAATTTCTACCGCCGTTTTATTAAAGGGTATTCCTAGATATCTCTACCTCTTATATCTATAATAAAAGGGAGTAAAAACGGGAAGAAACTAGGCTAAATATCACTTAATAGTACCGAATCGGTAGCGTTTTAACGCCTAAAGTAGGCTTTCTAGTTAGTAGCCCTATTATATCATTTTAATCTAGAGAAACATATCAGACTCGAGATAGATATATCGAATTAAGGAATAGGAGGAGTACTTTTATAACTAAATAACGAAGGACGATAGTATCCGGTCGCGTTTTAGTCTAGAAAGTTCTTAGGCCTAGAACTCAACTATATAATATCGGATTAGGAGCTATTCGCTATCGTTCACTCTTTCTAATATTAGAGACACTATCTAGATAGTAGTAAGTATCCTATTAAAGTTTTATCTAATTATACTAATTTACATACCTTTATAATATAGTAAAAGCTTAATAGCCGATAGGCGCGTTAGTATATATTTCTCACGCCTTTTAACTTTATTATAAAGTATAGGCCTAGAAAAACAAATCCTATAGATAGGCTTTCTAGAATTCTAAACTCTAAACGAGCAATTGTAGGAGAGGAATTAACGACCCCGATTTATTAATAAATCGCGGGCGAAGAACTTCCGGATCTAGGAGAGACCGGAAAGATAAAAGCCCTAACGATCCGAAGTATTATAGAGGTAAAAAATCTAAACGTAGATTATAAGTATGATTTAGAGGAATATAACTCGGAATCCCGATTAGGATCAGGTCGAGAGACCGAATAGGTAACGCCTAGATCTAGTATACCTATCGAGACGATAGCGAAACGTATAAGTATAGATATAGATAATTAGTCTAAATAGCGAGAATTATATAACAAATTGAATATTTAATTCGACGTTACGGATACTAAAGTAGTAGTAATCTAGTCTATTAGTATAGACACTATAGATATTCTCAAATAAGTGGGAAAACTCTAGTTAGATAACCTAGAAACGATCCGCCGAAGAGGGGACGTTTCGATCTCGAAACCTAGTAGTAAAGGCTGGTTAGTAGACGCCTTAGGATTACTATAGTACCGAGGATATCTATATATACCGAAAAAAAGGGCCTCCGTATAAAGTTAATATAAATATATTATAATAATCCTACTACCGGCTATTTTAGTAGAGTAAGGACCGAAGAGCTCTTTCGTAGAGAGTACTACTAGGTAAATCTCTAAGTAGATATATAAAAATATGTTAAATCCTATACAATATATCAAACTACTTAGACGCTAAGGTATCGTCCTTTTAGTAAGCTCGAATCGCTACCGATTCTATTACGGCCCTTCGCCGAATTATCTATAGACTTTATTATAGGATTGCTTTAATCGATCTAGAAAGGAAAGATAGTAGATACCATTCTAGTGATTATAGACCGTTTCTCGAAATAGTGCCTTTTCTTCCTAGTTTCGATAACGATAGATACTTCGGAATTAGCCGAGCTTTTCTATTATAATATCGAACTAAGGTTTAGACTACTAAATAGTATCGTATCTAACCGGGGATCCGTTTTTACGAGTAGATTTTAGTTAAAACTATATTATATATCCTAGGTAAAACTGAGGTATTCGATAGCATTTTATCCCTAAACCGATGGTTAAACGGAAAGGATAAATTAAACGCTCGAACACTACCTCCGGTGCTTTATTAACGAATAGTAAAAGATATAGCCCACACTCCTATAAACTACTAAATTCGTATATAATAATACAGTCAATACGACAATTGGAATGTCGCTATTTTAGGCCTTATTAGGCTTCAATCCTAACTTCTATATACGCGCCGAGGACGGCGGCGTAGAGAGAGAGGCACCGGTAGTATTATTACGAGTTGAAAAGCTCTTAGAGCTTCGCGAAAAGCTATAGAAAATATAGCGAAAAGCAACCGAAACGTAAGCGGCTTATTATAATAAGCGTTATAAAGAAATAATATTTAAGAAAAATGACCTCGTGGCTCTCTCGATAAAGAACTTATAGCTAAAGGAAGGTATAATAAAGAAGCTATTACTACGATAGATTAGACCTTTTAGAATCCTCGAATATATAGGAAGATAAGCGTATCGCCTCCTACTACCTAGCTAGTATATAGCGATTTATAATATATTCCCTATCTCTCTATTATAACTATAGTATTAGCGTAAAGGTAAACTAGAACAATTACCCCTACCTAAGCTAGTAGATAATAATAAATAGGAAGTCGAAGAGATAAAGGATAACTAGCGATTCGAAGACGAATTACACTACTTAGTTAAATAGTATAGCTAGCTATCGGAATATAACTAATAGGTGCCTAAGAGCGCAATAGTGAATATACTAAAAATCATCGCTAAATATAAAAGGATATAGAGAAAGCAAAATTAATTGAAAAGTTACCGAATGCCTACCGTATCGGCCTCGAAAAGATATAGTCATATCCCTAGAGCAGTCGCGTTTTACCACGCCTAATAAGAGGAAGTAAAAGAAATATAAAAGAAGTCCCGGAAAATAGGCGAAATATAGCCGAACCATAACAGCTATACTCTTAGAGATAAAGGGAATAGGCCTATATATATATTAAGGGAGCTAATTATAGTAGTATCTATTCTATTATCACAAGCGGTAGAAACTAGGTCGCGAATCTCCTCGCGAAAGGCGATAAGCCCTATATACTAACTATAGGCCGACTCTTTAGCTATATATAGACGTAGGTAGTAGCTAGCTTTATTAGTAAGTTTCTCCTAGTCGTAGGCCGAATCGCTAATAGGAGGTAAGGGAATTACTAACGATCTATAGGCGGAAACCTAGCTAGTATAGGCGTCTTTTATAGTCTAGAAAAGTTAGCGGAACGAATCATAGATAATACACCTATATTTTAGGGACGAAATATACCTAAGGAATATAGGTCCCGGGAAGTGAATAGGTACGACGATAGTTCTTAACGAAGTTATCGAAGCTAGCGATAAGATACCGAACGTAAACTGTAACACTCTCGATAAAGTCATAAGGCAATAACAAGTCGATATCGTCACCTTAGGCGTCCACACTTATCCTAGGAATAATACCATATTCGTTATTAGAATTGGCCTAAAATTCACAAACCTAAGATAGGTAAGTAAGGAGTTCGTAACGGTTTCCTTCGATCCCCTTAGGGATCTAAATATCGTTAGCACAAATCACTAGCGAAAAGAGACAGAAACGATCCTATAGACATACCGTTTTATAAGGCTTATAAAGCTTATTATAGTGTTAGCAATTCTTACTATTATATATCTTAGCGAAACAATAAGCCACGAAAGGCTCGAGAGAGGCTAGACTATCCTCGGTCCAATCGCGCACAGAGACCCTTAGATATATTATACACTAGGTATACGCGCGTAGAATAGGACGTCGGAGCTTATATAGAGAACTCCTAATAGGAGGCATTTTCGATAGCGAATAGGGTGCGAATCAGAGATAAAACGGTATAGAAAAGTGAAAGACTTAAGGATGTAAAAGCAAAGATAACCTCTATAAAGAAGAAGGTAAATAAACCTAGGTTATCTACGCGACGTAATTAAAAATCAAGACTCTACCGAAAGAGGAAGCTACGATCGAGACATAATTCAAACAATTCGCACCTACTATTTCTATTAAAATCATCGAACTAAAAGAGATATTACCTAAACACCGAAATACTACTAATTCGATCCCTCACCGGTTATAATTTATATAGAGGAACTAGAAATTCCTCCTCCTATATATCTATAATAATCTAAAGAGTACTACCGGCGGGGACTATAGGATTAAAATACGTAAAATAGACATCCTTTACTAAACGTAATAGGTCAAATTTAGCTTACGTCTATAGAACAAATCCTTCGTCTCTAAACTAAAGACGCTACCCCGATTCGGTAAGATAATAGTGCTATTTCGCCTATATCGTATTAAGACGGGGACGCGGAAGAGGGTTCGGATATAATTGTTAACGACCCTCTATAAATTAACGATATACGATAGGAATAGGCTAGTGAAGAGTTAGCGAATCACGGCCGAATCCTATATAAGAGATCTCACTCACTTTACTCTTATCCTTCTTAGTCTCACTAGGTAGGCTATACGTAGACTTATATACGCGGTGCGTAGTAATAAAGTCCTTTAGTAGGCTTATAACTCCCTTATTAATAGTTTTAAGATACTTATCGTCCTACGTATAGTATCCGTTATCGTTATCGAAACATTTAGCGGCCTAGTTGAGGATCGCGACTAAATCGCGAGTATCCCCTTATATACTACCTATAGGAAGTTCGTAATATATATATCGACTAATACACTATTAACACTTTTTAGAATTTTCGGTACCGATAATACACTTAATCGAGAACGGTTCGTTAGTGTCTCCGGTATCCTACTAGTTAATAGCTATACGAAGGCATTGTATATACTAAGCGTATTTTAACTTCACTTAAACCTTACGTTAAACTAGGGGTATGCTAGAAATTAAGAGGGTGATTAATGATTTAAATTTATAAAGCAAATAATACGTCTATATAGACTACGGTATATAAAGACATCCTATTTCGGGTTATTTAGGATCTTTTATATTATTCTAAATATATCTCCTTTATTAAACCACTCTCGGTTCCTCCCCGATACTTTATTACTTTATTATCTTAACACCTATTTCTAGATCTATATCTAATTTCGGATAGGGATATCCTCCTAGAAGAGAGGGGATAATTGTAAAGGATAAAGGTCCTTTCAATTGTGAAACGGGATTAACTGATATAGGTATATTAGATATAATATAGCCGAAGCGAGCGGGGTTCGTCATATGATCGGCCCTGTTTCTTAGCATACTGTTTTCCTAAAATCCCAGAGCCCCCCGGGGCCCCCTGAATTCTGATAAGAATTAGTCTTGGCATATAGAGACAATACATTGATCCTCTCCCACAGCCATTGTATCTTACCCGGTTGACAGGCCATACACCTGCAGACTGTATATCCTTACATTAAATCACTTCCTAAAAAGTATCTTACGCTTATTAAAGATTCTCCTATACTTACTAAAGACTTTCCTACTAAGGATTATAGTACTAGGGGTTATACTACTAAAGATCATCCCGATCCTACACACCCCGACTTTCCTCCATCGTACTAGTCTATTAACTAGTGATTTCATAGTTAATCACCTAAGCGATCTCTTCAGTAGTAAGTTCTTACAATTATCTCACTAAAGGTAATAGAATCGGCCGATACTAATCGTACTTAGGTATATACTTCCGGGTTTTATTAATAACTATATCCCTAATATACTTCACCTTTCCACTATATAGAAACCAGATCTTCTAGATATTCGAGGTATAATATCCTACTAAAAAGCCAATCTCTACTTAAGGGTATATCTTATCAGACTATACTTAATTCTCAATTCTATAGTACGCTATACTTCCGTATAGCCTAACATTTAATAGATTAGTCTTTAGTATTACCGGTACGAATTCCTTCCTAACTTCTTCCTATAGAACCACCTAACAGTTCTCGGTAGCGATATACGATAGCGTACGATTTAATAACTATATAGCAGCGCTTACAAATTCCGGCTATAGATCCTTAAGGAGCTTCCCTTTAAAAATAAGTATACGTATATAAGTAATAATTATCCCACTAGATCTCTCGGTATACCTATTCATTTCTAAATATCTAAATAGAGTATAATATACTAAAATACTATCAACCGTTAGGCTATACTCCGCTACTCTACCTACTATAGCTTTATTATCGTAGTAGAAAGCCTTAATCGGTAGCTTCTACTAATTCCTTACTAGCTATACGAACTCCTTTATTATAAGCTAGTATTCCGGTTTAACTTTATATATTATAATCTAATAGAACCTCGGTCCTTCTAGATAGAAATAAGATATCTAGCGATATCTATTATACGCCGGTAGTAGTTAAATTAGATTAAAGTACACCCTTCTAAATTGTCTAAAGGATCTTCCGACTAGCTATTATAATATCTACCTTAGAGCACTTCCTATTTTATAGGTTTAATATAAAGATTGCTCCTCTATCGACTTCTTATCTTTAAGAACGACGCCCTCTACTATACTAGGAAGCTTCGCTATAGTACGTAGTTTAATATAAGCTAAGCGCCGATACTATAGTTCGGAAGAAGCCTTTAATTCCTACAGCTTTACCGAGTTCTATACGCCTACCTAGGTAGTATATACCTATTATAGAGGAGTTTCACTAAGCTTATCAAAAAGCCAGAGGTTAAAGTGATCCTAGAAATATACACTAATAATAAGCCTATTATTAGGATCCTATATACAATTCGTCTTTTAACACTAAAGGCCACCTTTTTTCCTTAATATCGCGTATAATACTAGATTTATATAGAATCTAGGTAAGTATAGAGTATCACTTAATATAATCTCTATCCTTCCTTTTACTAGGTATCTTCCTACTAGACGAGCTATACCCCTACCGAGTATCTTTATAGTACTATCTCTAATTAAGACTTCTATATCGTCCGGGGTAAAGTTAATAAATAAGCTCCTATTATTATAGATATACGCACTCGATCCAATATCGAGGATCTATCGATTATATAGGGAGGGCTTATCACTTTTTACTATAGATAGCACATACTTACTAATCTATACAGCTTTATACTTTTAATAGATAGTAGTAAAGCTAACCTAGTTAGTATATTTAGCCTTTAGCTAAGCTTTAGTAACTACCTTATTAACCTATTACTTCTAAACGAGGTCCTTTACTAACTTCTTCTTCGCTTTCTCTAATATACGCTTATTAAAGGTATATCCCTCCAGTCGAATTACTTTATTTATAATATAGCAAGTAGCAACCTTATACCTTAGATATATACTACTATATAGACAGCGTCTCTTCTTAAATAGGAGCTTCTCTTACTTCACTTCCGGCTTCGCTTCTTAGTATCCTTATTAGGTTAAAAATACACCCTTTAGAGTATTAGTTAAGGTTATAGTCTAAATACCTATCTTATAATTTATAATATAGAATAATTCGAGAAGATCTCGAGTATTATATACTTTCTTATCTATAATAATCTCCTAGTATTTCCTTTACTACTAGATAGAGAGCACCTCTTTTATAGCGTATAAAAAATCCCTATTTATATCTCTATTATTAATACTAAAGCTAATAGCTTACTCTCTTAATAAGTTCTACTATTAAAGCTATTCCTCGATATCCCTAGTCGGCTTCTATATTATAAAAACCTTCTATTTTATATAGATCTCTTCTTCGTATATAGTCGATCGGGCAAAGCGAGACTTTAAATATATAAGCCTATTATATAGAGTATAATATATAACTAGAGAGAGATAGTAGATTAGATTAAGGTATATAAGGATATATTTATTTATATCGCTCAGTCCCTTTATCTACTTCTCCTACCTTATATACTTCACTTTATATATATCTATACAGTCTCGCTAGATCCTTCGGTCTTTCTCATCGCCTTCCTCAGGGTATTCGGGTTCCACCGGTTCTTAGAGAGGCTCGGGCCGTTTATTAGCGGGATCGGTTATTAACGAGATAAGGTCTAGATTGCATAGATCCTATACGTTCTTTTATACGGTATATAGCTATACCTTTATAAACTAGGTACGCTATTGCGGCGAGTCCTTTAGTTTTTCGCCCTTTATAGCGGAGAGGATTAATACTACCTCTATTACTAGATTTAGGGGTAGCTTATACAGCTTTAGGATAGCTTTAGGGGTTGCGAGACGCTTCTAGCAGCGGGCTAGATACTATATTCTAACTACAGTAGTCTCATTCAGTACGAACCGGGCTCATAACTATCGGCGTGGGCCGTATTGTAAAAATGTAGGGTCCAATCAATGGTATTCAACTCTCTATATTGCTATATCGACTTTCCTAACAATTTATATGGGCCGTCGATTACTAATCTAAAATTACAAGATGCATAGGATCAATGGATCCTCCGGTATGCCGGTATGCCAATGCATCTATTCCGACATATCACCCTTGCCTGATTTCTTAGGTTTTGATTCATGTATTATATAAGCGAGTATTGAGATTTTGAGGTTACAAGTAGCAGATAGATACAGATTGAAATAACACACTCCTACACCTCTTTGAATCCACTTCTTGGACAGTGCTCTGAGAACCTTCTGCATGCAAGATAGGGCATGAAGCTGAACTACACGTGCTGAATCGACCCGTATGCCGCAGAGCATACAGCCTTGAGCATTCCCCTCTTCAATATATAGTAACTATATCGAACTAACGCTATTTATAACCCTATTAGGCGATAAAAGTAAAGACAAATTTCGCTAATATATTCTAGATAACTAGGATATAGAAGATATGAAGCTTTTCCTGCTATACAAATCCGCCCATCACTCCCGTGAGAAAGTCTTGGCGGTCAAAATCAACGCCAAAGCCGATTATCACTACCTATTTAGGTATTTATATTGCTTAAATAGGTTTAGCGTTGTCCTATGGGAGTGGGTCCATGGGAGCTGGCAAGGTCTAGATATTAACAGATCGTGATATCAGATCAATAACGAGTCTCCGAGCTTATGACATATTAGAATTAACGAAGTAGACGAGATCATGAAAGCACAATATGTGTATTGTGGAAAGTATGGAACTATCAAGAGGGGACGAAACAGAGAGAGAGACTATGGAAGTCTACTACTATGGAGACCAATCATATAACTACTGAGAGATATCAACATTCAGACTCAAAGCCAGTTCCACAAGACGCACATTAGTCGCGATAAGAATACTCACGATTTTTCCCCATGATTAAGATGAAGTAGCTTTCCTCGTTTCATATTACACTTGCTGGGGCCGATACAGGATGGATGTAGGGGATGCGCGCTAAGGGGGATGCTCTTATAATATATCGATCATGATTGTATTATTGGTATTGGATCATTATATCTCTTGGATCATTATATCTCAACAAAATATTAAAGCCTTCCACAATCTTCCTGGGTTGTCAAGGAAGTCATATGACCACAAAAATAAAGGTTTCCCACACGTTAGGATCAGAGAAAGCTAGGGAATGTAACGAATGAATATAATACCGATTTAGTACAAGCGAGAGAGATGGCGGAATAAGAGAAAACAAAGAGTTCTTTTTCTTAGAACGGGCTATCTAATATCTACAGAGGTCTGCTAACATATAAGATCATCACACTTTTTTCACCATTTATCAGCCTTGACACTCGCTGTGTGTCGGTCCTCATTTATCCTCTGTAGAGCTTACTATATCTTGGTACCATCGCTAAAAACGAAATGACTGTGGACAGTCTAATTCACCCACCCGGCCAATGTCTCTCGCAATATATTTCGGTTCCTATGCAAGAACCAATGATCTCCATCCACCTCAACAAGATTGAACTCTTTCGCTTGTGTGCTCCAAGCAGCAACTTCGTTCGGGTACACCACTTCATCCTGGCGTGCGGCAAAAGCAGTGATCGGTATATCTAGTGAATCCTCTTCGGTGAAACGGTAGTTAAGAAGCAATGGTGTATCCCGCCTCATCGCCGGTAATATTGAGCGAAGAAATTCGACATCATCAATATAACGAGAGATAGCCAACGTATACTCGGGGCTGAAGTCCTGGGTAATGACCTGGACTATCACATCTCGCTTCTGCCAAATTTTGATGAGATTGGGCGCTATGGTGCCGGTTATAAGAAGGCGTGGAAGAGGTTTCCCTTGTCGTCTGAGGGCTCTGAGCACTTCAAAAGCAATAATTCCTCCAAAGGAGTGGCCCCAAAAAGCCTGTGGAGCACCCACTACTTCTTCCATCTCGCCAAGGATGCCGGAAACAACTTCAGACATGTTGGTTAAAATCGCTTCCTCGGATCGATTCTCTCGACCTGGCAGCTGCACTGCAATTGCGGTCAGTCCATGCGGTGGATCCACCAAAAACGGAGCGAAGAGAGAGGCTGAAGCGCCCATTGAGTGGAAACACACAAGGCGAGGGGAAGAGTCATTGGCTATTTTGCCGCCAATGAACCATTTTGACAATACTGATAGTCCCGCAGAGGGCATTTGTTCAGATATGTGGTTGGCAGCATCAGTACCGTTCCCACCTTCAGCATGGTCGGTTTGAAATGAGCTGTTGAGTTCCACTGCAATTTCCTGGAGACTGGGCGCTTCGAAGAGCCTCATGAGAGGGTATGTAACTCGAAGTTCACGCAAAATCACGCCTCGCAGTTGTGTGAGAGTAAGGGAGTCATGTGCGTATTGGCTGATTTTCTCCGTGAGGGAAATCCGGCACGGCTCGACACCAATGATTTTGGCCAGTCCAGAGCATAATGTATCGGCAATCATGGTCACTCGCTCTAGACCAGATATATTGAAGATTGATCGGGTGGACCCTGAACTGCCTAACTTGGCTTGCTCATTCTTCAGCCCCATGAAAGCACCATCTCGAATCAGATGGGGATACGCTGTGAGGAACATAGGCCAATCGAGATTAAGAGCCAGTCGTTGTGTAGTACCATGAAGGATGCCACGCTCAAAGGCGGATAGAACTGCTGGAAGACACGTGGTCACTAATCCTAGCGATTGTAGGATTTCGTGGAGCTTGTCGTTGTAAGTCGATTTCTCAGACATGCCCGCAAAGTATCCTAGCAAGCCAAGATTGAGAGAGAACCCGGGCAAGCCAGCTGCCTGACGGTAATGTGCCAGTCCATCTAGGTACTGGTTCGCAGCAGCGTAGGCGAATTGTGCTGTAAGCCCGACAATACTTGCGATAGATGAAGCCATAACAAAGAAATCCAGTTTCATGTCCTGGGTAGCTAGATGCAGATTCCATGAACCCAATGCCTTGGGCTTGAACACATGCCAGAAATCATCCATCGTTGTCTCATGGGCATATATATCTCCCAAGATGCCTGCACAGTGAATCACCCCTACGATAGGGGGCCAGTCCGATCGATGACTGAAGAGCGACATTACAGCCTCAAGGCTACTAATATCTGTTTGCGCAACCCTCACGTTGGCTCCGTGACGCCGCAGATCTAAAATATTCGCATGATCTTCTTCGGACTTTGGCCCTGAGCGACTGGCAAGCACGAGATGACGAGCTCCTCGATTGACCAGGAGCCTGGCGAACTGTAGACCTAGCCCACTTGCACCGCCGGTGATGATATAAGTTCGATCCCCTCGGAGCTTTAGCTGAGTTGGTGGTGCTGTAGCAACTTCAGTGTTGTCTGGTAATTCCAAGACAATGTTTCCAATTACCGCAGACCGGGAAACTGCCTTCATAGCCGTGGACATCTCCGTGATGGGGTATATGGTGACCGGCAGTGGGACCAGCTGGCCGTTTTCAAACAGGGCACAAACTTCATTGAGCATTCGATAATGTAAATATGGCTTTTTGATTGCCAGTCTATCGACGTCAACAGCAAAGAACGAACCATTCTGGGCGAATTGCTCCAGGCCGAGCCTCATATTCCGGTAGATATCCGTCTTTCCAATCGCCAGAAACCGGCCGAATGGAGCAAGACATGCGACCGACTGCGATAACATGGTACCAGAAGGTGAATAAAGCACCACGTCCATGTCTTTGTCTCCGGTTGCCGCCTTGAGCTGATCGTGAAATGATGTCGAAGTTGAGTCGAATACGGCTTCCACTCCCATCTGTAACACCCACGCGCGACGGGCAGGGGTTTCGGCTGCTGCATACACACGAGCACCCAGGTGCTTGGCCACCTGAATTGCCGCGATACCCACCCCACTAGCTGCTGAATGGATGAGAAGCCGTTCTCCAGACTCCAGTCTGCCAAGGTATGCCAAGGCATAATACGCTGTTGTGAATGCTACTGGGACACAGGCCGCCTCGGGGAATGTCAACGAGGGAGGGATAACCGCTAGCAGGCCACGGTGGACAGTTGCGAGCCCTGCAAGGCCTTCTGGCACTCGAGCCATGACCGGAGTGCCAATTCTAATGTCTTGCACATTCTTACCAATCGCCACAACTCGGCCGGCAACCTCGGCTCCCATATTTTGACTTGCAAGGCTTCCAGAGATCGATTGCTCACTCGGCACGCTGAAAACATCCATTGTATCTCTGACTTTTAGCCCAACTGCGTGCACTTCAATACTCACATCATCTGGTCTCAAATCCTCTTCAACTTTCTGCCGTAGAATGACATTGTCGACGGTCCCGTTGGCACCGGGATCAGAAAAATATGCCCCCCCTCTTGCAGGCAGACGCTTTTCTACCCGTTTCTCCTCCTCTCCAGGATCCACTGCCACGATTCGTTTGAAGAATCGACCTTCGGGTCGTATCGCCACAACACTCTCGGTATGACCGACCCGATTCGTTCGTAACTCTTCTTCTAGTAATGGGATATTCTGGCGATGTTCGTCTAGTGCAAGATCCACACAGCGGATACGGGCTCGGGGCAGCTCGTTTGCCATTACTCGGGCAGCTGCTTGTACAGCAGAGGAAATGGGATCACATTGTGAATCTTCTGGCGTCATGCAGCTGCCTTTGGTCACAATCACAAGCGTGGGAACCCCTTGGTTCTCATGGAGCCATGTGGCGACGCGAAGAAGCACTTTCATGACGGCCTCCACTGTGTGGTGAAACTCCCGGCAGTATGAACCAGAAATGAACGCCGGAATCATGACAAGTAAACGAGCGTCCCATAGGAACGGCCATTCTGTCGGTTTCCATGTTTCGTCAACTTCGTCCAGAGTCTTCTGATGCAACTGGGCGCAAGGAAACGTTCTCTGGATGGTACATTGCCAGTCAATATCACCTCTCTCTGGTTCAAGAATCACCACGTTGTCGAAATCCGCCTGTAGTTTACTCAGCCCGTCCTGAGCCTCCGGTTGGAAACATACTTCGTGTTCCAGGAGCCGCGGCACATGCTCACCCGGAATGCGTTTTGTTGTTAATCCAGTTACCACGACAAGGATTTTACCACTTTCGCTATACACAGATGTATTGCAGCGCAGGAAAGTATCATCATGGAGCGTGATATGGGTATGCACAAATGCGGATGTGATACTCTCCGCTGCCTCGAATATCTCGATCTGTTCAAGGTGGGAAGGGAGGTTGACATACCGCAAATCACCGTGCTGGCCCTTATCAACGAAAATCATATGTATGGCAGTATCCAAGAGCGCCGGGTGAAATACGAAACGTGCCGCATCCGCACGCAAAGAACTGGGGAGCTTAATATGTGAGAAAATCTCGTCCCCTAGCCGCCATATCTTTTGGGCTCCTCTGAAAGCCTCTCCATACCGAAGACCTGACTCCTCCAGTTTGGAGTAAAAGTTTTCAGGATCAACTTCCACCCCGGTCTGCACTCGAGACCTTACACTTTCCAATGCCTCTGTAACAGCACCCGGTCGCTCGCCAAACGCGTTAATCCGTCCACGAGAACAAACCTGCCATGGTACCTCGGGGGTCGAGCCTGCGGGACGCGAACTTATCACAAAGTCATTCGCAGCAGATGTAATTTCCAGCAACACTTGCGGAGCGAAATCTTCTGCAGATGCCAGGATCACAGGACGCTCAAGTCTCAAGTCTTCCAGCCAGATTCTCATATGTGGCAGGTGCTCCCGGGCAGCCAAGTATGCGGACTCCACATGTCCTGTCATAGGAAATACAACCGCCCCATTTATAACATGATCGGCGAGAAAGGGAGACACGCCTGTGCTCAACCTGAGTCGTACCGCACCACGACTTGCGTCAGTCAGACGAAGAACGCTTCCAAGGAACGGATGCTTGTTTTGACCAAGCCGGCGTTGCTGAGCCTCCGGGTTCTCGAACCAGTAATCCTGGCGTTGAAAAGGGTATAATGGGAGATCAACAAACCGGCCCCCGCCACCATTGAAGGACTCAATGTCCACATGAACGCGGGTCGCGTGTGCCGCTCCGATGACACATGAGACAGGGTCAATTTCACTTCCCCTGATCATCGCTGGCAAGATGTGAACGGATCGCTTGGCATATTCAGCAATGCCACGGGTTCCAGAGACCAAGACAGGGTGTGGCCCAATCTCTACTAGGAAATCGTAACCGTCTTCTAACATTCTTTCCATGGTCTCCCGAAACAGCACTGGCCTACGCACATTCTGGAACCAGTAGTCACCCGAAAGGTGGGTGCCGGGCTCAATCAGCGTGGTGACAGTGGAGTACAAGTTGGTCTTGGTCGGGTTCCCTTGAATACACGATAGGGCGGCAACGAGTTCGTTTTCCAGAGGATCCATGAAGCGGCTGTGGTAGGGTACGTTCACTTTGACGAATCGAGCAAAGCTTCCCTGAGCCTCGAGAATACTGCTAATTTGCTCCAGTTCCGCCGTAGGCCCAGTCAAGGTCGTCATTTCAGTGCCGTTGTGAGCTGCAATCTCCACAACTCCTCCCAAATGATGCCGCTGAAGAAGTTGCTCTGCCATCTTCGATGTTATCCCGGCTGCTAGCATACTTCCTGTGCCTGCTGCCTTGTTCTGGATCTGTGATCGAACATAAATTACTTTGACAGCTTCCTCTAGACTCAGTGCACCAGCAATATGTGCAGCAGCAACTTCACCAATGGAGTGGCCCACGATGGCGTCTGGCTTGAGTCCATAAGACAATAACATTCTCGCCAATGCAATCTGAATGGCTGCGATGGCTGGCTGAACGATTGTGGTTTTGTTCATTCTTTCTAGGTCGCCCCCGCATGATGACATCTCCGTGCGGATCGAAAACCCTCCCAGTGCAATAAATATCTCATCAAATGCAGCCAAGGACTCGCGGAACGTAACTTCCTGATCTACAAGGGCCATCCCCATCCCGAGCCATTGGCCGCCTTGACCGGAAAATAAGAAGGCTGTTTTTGTAGAACTTCCCGGTCGTCTCTGGAGCGTCAAAACTTGCTTACTTACTTGCCCAGAGCTTAGCTGGTCAAGTCTAGAGCACAAGTCCTTAAGGCCTTCAGCCGCAATGACTGATATTTTGTTGTGAGTACTCCGTCGCATGTTGAGAGTGTATGCGACATCATTTAGAGCGGTCTTTTGGAGTCGTAGGTAAGAGGCAAGCTCTCGAGCAACCTGCTCCATGGCAGATAGAGACCTTGCAGAAAGCACGTAAACACGTGGCTCATGACTGGCTGGAGAAGAGGAGCTACCGATATTATCTGGTGCTTCTTCGAGGATAGCATGCGCGTTGGTCCCCCCCAGCCCCAAACGAGTTGACCCCAACCCATAGCTTGTGTTGCCCATCTGAGGACAACGAGGTTATCTGGGTAGGTACTGCAACCTGAAGTGACTGGAAGTCAATTGCGGGATTAAGATTCGTGAAATGGACCTGTGGGGGGATTTCTCTGTGAAAGGTGACCAGTACAGCCTTAATGAAGCCGGCAATTCCAGCAGCACCCTCGAGGTGACCGAGATTACCCTTGAGTGATCCTATCCAAAGAGGATGCTCATCTTTAGATCGTGCCTGTCCGATCTGCTTTCCAAGGGCACTTGCTTCGATGGGATCCCCGACTCGGGTTCCTGGCCCATGGGCCTCGACATAACGGACTTTGGCTGGGTCTGTGTTGGACTGTTTGTAGATCGAATGTAGTAATGCCGTCTGAGCTGTCAAGCTGGGAACGGTGAACCCCTCTGGTGTGTATCCGTCTTGATTCACAAGAGAGCTGCGGACCAAGGCATAGATTCTGTCCTTGTTTTGGATCGCGCGACTGAGAGGCTTCAAGAAGACCATTCCCACGCCTTCACTACGAACATAGCCATTTCCTGCCGCGTCGAATGATTTACAAGCGCCATCTGGAGAAAGGAAACCCGCCTTGGACATCAAAATCGTAGACTCAGGGCGGAGAATGGCATTAACTCCACCAACGAGAGCAGCCTCACTCTCCTGCGCCCAAAGGCTTTGGCAGGCTAAATGTAATGCAACCAAGCTGCTCGAACAGGCGGTATTGAGAGTGAGGCTTGGGCCCCGTAAATCCAACCGATGCGAGACCCGGTTAGCGATTGAGCAGTCATGAGTGCCCATTCCTGCATGGGGGCCAACATTGTCTCGCTGCTCTGTTCCTCCTTGCATGGAAAGGTAGTCGTTGGCGAACATCCCAACAAAGACACTTGTCTGTGATCCAGCCACCTCTTGCAAAGTAGTGCCAGAGTCCTCCAGCGCATGAATGCTAGCCTCCAGTAGGAGTCGCTGTTGCGGGTCGATCCTGGATGCCTCGCTTGGGAAGATACCGAAGAATTCGGCATCGAACGATTGGATTTTGTCCACGAATCCCCCTTTGATGTTCCGAATGGCACCATATTTTGCCGGGTCATCGCCATGCAAGGCATTTGCATCAAATCGGTCACTCGGGACTTCCGAGACGAGGTCTCTACCTTCACGCAGTACGTCCCAAAACTCCTTCGAGCTCGTGGCGCCCCCGGGAAGACGACATCCAATGCCGACAATAGCAATAGGCTCGCGATTGATAAACGCCATAGCAAGAGTTGTAGATAGCAAAAAGAGAACACGTAAGTCTGTTGATATCTCGATGGATTCTAGAGATGCTGGAAGCAAGTTGTTATTCTTATCTTCATACTGCTTTCCAAACTGCTTCCCATCAGCTCTTTTATATACACCTAGATAGCCTTTTTTCAAGAGTCACCATATGCACTTGGACAGATTTAAATGATGAGCCCACCATCAGCGATGTTCTTGAGGATTAGGCCTGCCAACTCTCTCTTCCACGTTAGATTCATTTACGCATCCTTCTCCATGCAGTCCATGATCATCCACTCTCGTGTGAGTGTTACGTATGCTCACTTCCCTCTTCTTCCATTTAGCATAACTCCAACCAGTCAAGTTCAAGGGTGGCCCACACTCTCGTTTCCTTCCTTCCTACAGTGACTTCGTCCTTTCAAACGTCAGTCGACCGACAAATCCGGTGCATATCTATCTATTGTGCTCCCAAAGCTACACAAAAGGAGTGTGGGTAGTGAGTAAGGATGACTACGGAGGGACTTGGTTTTCACTACTTTGTTGTTTTTCATGCGCTCACACATGGTAATCCTAAATCCAGTCTTCTAAATTAATTATTTTGTGTCCTTTGTTCCTTATAGTCGGGTCCTAGTCTCCAGCACCCACATATACGTAAGTTTGGATGGATCAACCACCTCGGTGGCGGGTTGAAGCAATATGCAAAATATAACTATGCGTAGATTGTGTAGGCCTGTGTTAGAACTCGAGCCCAATACCTGCCAAGTGTTCAATTGGTCGTTCTGCATATTGCCTCAACATACTAGCCACTCACACTGCCGCTACCGGTCCTATATACAACTTGAACAAATCTATGGACTCGCCGAAGTAATATGTACGTCATAGGTATTGTGTGACCATAGGATTGCGTTAGCCGGTGTTAGGACGCGAACCTGATACCTGTAGAGTAATCAATTGGTCATTCTACATATTACCTGGGGCAACAAACCACCCACACTATATGTCTCCAGTAGTTACCTAAACGGGATATTAGACCGGCTAACATTTAACTTATTAGGTATAGCACTATAGGTTCGACATTTCCGATATTTCCGACGAAGTCGCCAAGTTGTTTAGAAGATGAGCTGATTTTCCCTGTTTACTCCCAGCACTAGTGGTCTCTAGCTCTGTAGGGGGCTCCTTTTATTCACCACGCAACTAGGGATTTTCCAAGGTACTCCTATCGTCATAGTAGACTCTCCAGCTTCATATTTTACATAGGTACTACCTCCATTTATAAGTGACCTCCTGTAACACGAAGAGAGTGGGTACCATAAACAGTTGAAAGAAAGAGAAAGTCCTCTAAACATTTATCTCCGCTTTCTCACATCACACTTCATCTAACCTTGGAAGATATCTGTGGGATTATCTGGTTTGTTTTACCTATATCTCGACGTTTGCTTCATATGGGACTGGGCCTGGGGCGCTTGTCATAGAAATTATATATAATAAGTCAGCGCGGTATCATACCTAGGTATGACGTGTAGCCTGCTATGAGATACATGTACTTGCTCCTTGCCGGTATCTTATGTAAATACATTACTCTTAAGAGAACCCTCACAAAAACGTTTCCCTCTCAAAAAAGTGTGTCCCGAAAACTATTTTCAAAGTAATCATAAGTCCTGGGAGGACAAACAATCCTGAATGAGTTTTGGATAAGTGGCAAATTATCTGTGTTCCTAGAAGTACATTCTGCTTCATATATAGCCACAGGGTTCTAGTCCAAATTTGGAAAATTATCAATGAAGAAAATAGTGAAAAACTGATTTTAGAACGGTTTATTTTAACTATAACCGTTGTACATGAAGTCAAACCTAACGTTTCGTATTTGACTACCAGCAAATAAAAGCGGAGCCAATGTACCTTGGCAGATGTTGCCCTCGCAGGAAAAGGACACTTGCAGGAGTAAGTGCTCCCGTAGATCCGAGAGCTTCTACATAACTTTCTACAATAGGATACCCTGGTGAGATCCACCCACACACTCCGGCAGTCGTCAGCGTGATAATCATAATACTTCCCAATGAGTCGAGGCTTTGTAGATTTGACTTTTTGGAGGTATCACCAATCCATTTATTCACAGCCCAGGATATTTTATGATACCGCCATAAATCTGAAATTTTTATATGAGATATACTGCCATTCCAAGGCTGTTTTATCTGACATGCGCATTATTAAGTAATATCCGAGTTTTATGACTTAACCAAGATACTTTTATAGGTCTAAAATATCGTCATTTATTTGTATGGAATTTAAACAACATGCATATAATATGGACAGAAATATTGATGTTAGTAGATCCACTGCGAAAGTGAGTTAATCTTGTAGTAACCTTGGAAGTCCACCCGCTCTCTTGTCCTACATACATGGACTCGGTCATACACTCACGATTCGTCATAGCGAGTCAGCTTACCTTTGCAACTTATCAGAAAGACTAATTAGTGTTAATTCCGGGAAACCCTGTTCTACCAGGATTCGCACTCCTGATATCGAGCATTCTCAAGTAGGGGTGACCCCTAAACGGGAACCAATATTTTCCTATAGTCTAGGGGTGCCTTGTTGCTAGTTCGATGTCTAAATATTTGGAATACCAACTTCAAATGCGGGAAAAAAGTGCGAGTGTTGCAAAGACACTGTTTAGAGAGTGGCATGATATTGATAAACGATAATTGCAACGGTTATTTGAGAGTTATCGAAACATACATCTTCACAATGCTTTCCACGGTATTAGTAGTGTTGGAAGTCCTGTGACTTCCCTATTTGCTCCCACTACTTTAGTCTAGTAACTATAGATAGTCTTCTTTCTTCTTCACGCAACAAGACATTTACCAGAAACCTCATACTTTTACAGTAGACCCTGTATCTGTCCATCAAGTAGAATAAACAAGAATAGACTTGTGGTGGTACAAGACCTATAAGTGGTAATAGCATAATGGTCAACGGGCAAGAGAGGATCTACAGCCGGGATTTAATAATTGGCTGTATCGGTTATCCGACTAAAGAATGGTGGGAAGGAACAATATACTGATTAATCCGTTCATTTTCTTTTAAAAACATGGTGAGAGAAAAGCGTTTATTGAATATTATTGGCCAACCGACATTCACCACCCAAAACCATGCGAATTTCCTAATACCTAGGCACCCCCAAGTGCAGCAAAAGATCTTTCACTCCTCTCACCTAGAAACATATTCTAGCAAGATATCTAGTGGGACAAGCCGTGGGACAAGCCCGTGCTAGGCTTCTGCGGAGTCTGGTTGGGTTACTTCGGTTGGGCAAATGGTACAGAGCTTAATTCTCGTCATTTTTGCTGATTCCCTGTAGGTAGACCAACGATGCTAACCGGCCCGCTGATAGCTATATGTTGAAGTGAGCCCGAAAGGTGTCGTGCTATCGATGGCCTTCTAGGTACTAAGGCCACCGTCATCAATAGTAGATAGGGTGGAGCTGATCTGACGGGTTACATGGGAGAACAATTTTTGAGATAGTAGTGAAGTGGGAAAGAGGTAGAAGATGAACCACGTTGAGCGACTCAGACAGTCTCCTTTACGACCAGATCAATTCACCACCTAGCTTAAGTCCTAATCCTTACACCACTATATCACTCGATATTGAACACTGTGACAGTATGAAATTATACGCGTCGCTAGCATTCGAAATTCACTAACAGCCTCTCAAGCAAACATATTCCAGACGATGCCCTCTGTGAAATATCCCACGGATCTCTTATACACGCGTCAAAACTTCCCGAAGCCTAAGCGATATTGACACTCGGCGATTTATAAAATTTGTGTTGTCCAGGTCGCGATTTTGGGAGTCTCTTTGAGTTTTTACAAACTTTTCGCTGTTGCTGGATTGGTCGTTGTTCTTCTAGGTTCCTTGCTCTTGGTGGATAGGCCACCACAACCTTCGCATTGCTGGTTTTTGCTGATAGGGTCAGGTGGTGAGGCATAGGCTGAAATGAATGGCAAGTGGTTCTCGATGCTGCTCTAAGTAGAATATTCGTTGTCTTGAGACGCACTGTTGGCTGCCCCTTTTGTTCTAGTTGATGTCTGATGTTGAATAGGTCGTGAATTATGGATATCGCAAGCGGACATAAACGCTTGAAGTATACCATGCGGTCCTCAACACAAAAGGTCTTGTCTCGATTTGTCGAGGACACGAGTGAGTCCATTGAACTCAGTATCAAGTAGACTGAGGTCTTCTACGATCATCTTGGCAAAAATTCAGGCATGAGAGAATAGACCAAAAGGGAGAAAGTGGAGGCCCACGGACTTGCTGTTATTTGCACGGAGCCTGTCTGCATGATGCGGTTCCTATGTAGGACCCCAGGGCTTGATGGCTAAGAAGGGGAGAACTGTTCAGCGCAGGTGGACGTGCTGTACAAATGGTGCTTGGCAACGCACGCTAGAAATGCTGGAGAAGAAAAAAAATAGCAGTTAAAGCTGTCTCTGCTCAGAACAATATATACCAAGAGAGGGTACCTAAGAACAGATGTTGTGACCATAAAGATGAGCTCTAGAAGAGTGAGTGTTTCGCTTGTTTGATAAGTGTGATTAGTTTGACTGGTATTTGCTATTTGCACTGGGACGTATGTATAATCATAGAAGAGCTGTAGCGAGTCTATAGGGCGACAAAGCCATAGCAACAAATTGAACTGAAGACATCTTTAGAGCTGTGTGCAGCTGCCAAGGGACCAAGCGTTCCAGAGTCAACCTGTAACCCAATCATATCACGATCCTCGTCACATGACGGGATCAGTGCGGGCGTCGCGCGACCTGGGGTGAATCTCACCCAGGAGATATGTATCAACTGGTAGAAATTAGTACCAGAGAGTTGTGATCAAAACAACACGCCTGCGGGAAAATATTTCAGCACGGGAGGGGATGGATACTCAGGTATAGTATAATGGTGTTCAGGGCATTCAGGTGAATGGGCTGAATGGACCCGCTTTTGTTGAGAATAATGTATTTTGTCGAGAGTTAAGGGCTGAATACCTACATGCATGCTACATGGATTTTACAGGTATTCCAAGGTAGGGCCGGTACCTGCTAACAAACACCTCCACAGAATGCCCGCGGACTGCCTCGTCAGCCGGATGAAATCATCACTCACTCGACGTGCCATGACTGTTCATCTCAGGACATTTAAATGTCTCCCGCTGCCCATCTGACAAGATCTGATAAGCATTTGCATTAAGGTTCGGCCCACCCGCAAACAATCCACACCATCCCGATGTTTTGCGGGAGTTCGAAGTCCCCATCAAAGCACTAGACTTCTTCAGCCCCCCGTTGGCCGTTTTGCTATCCGATGCGCCGCCGAAGATCGTGATAGTTGGACATAGTGCAACCCACCACTACTACGGACGCTTGTTGTTTCCCCTGCCACCACCAAAAACAACCATTCCAAAGATCAAAACGAGGGAGGTGACAAAACAGGTAGAAGAGGGAGGGGACGGAGAAGAAACCTTACAATAAGGGAAGGAACTTCATCTGATACGAGCACCAGAACCCACCGTAAATTTCATGCTCCATGTGCCATGTCGCCTAAAAGACGCAGGATCTGTAAATTTTAGTCAGAAGCGAACTTCTCAGCAAATGGCAGCTACTGCTTACCGCACCACCCCAGATGCAACCGTTTATGCAAAAGGGGGGTTTGTGCCTTTGTTCTATCAGCGTTTCAAGCAGATCAGGTATTTACACTGAAAACAGGAAGTTCACTGGTTCGTGTGTAGTTCATTGAACGATAATTTATATCAAAGGCACCATTTCATAAGGAAAAATGTCCTACCCATTCAGTGTTTCCAAGTACTCCTACATGCTGGGCAGGTGGGTGCGTGATCCGTTTCTAGCCATTGGTCGATGCATTGTTTGTGGAAGTTGACTCCACAGCGTGCCTTGCACCAAACCAATTCTTTAAGGCGTTCATCATCGTCCGCATCGTCATCATTATCGTCAGAATCAGCATCAGCATCGTCATCATAATCATCATCATCATCGTCCTCATCATCGTTGTCTTGATCATTATCACCGTGGTCATCGCCACCACTGTTCTCGCTCCCCTCTTCTGCGTCCCAGTCTCCATCTTGCGAACCGTGCAAATTGTTCAAACAGATGCCACATTCCTCCTTCAATCTCACGGCGATTGGGCTGGGATGTTTCAGCCTGGCTGGCCGTGTTACCAGTTCTACTGAAGGCGCGAGGCACAGTTGGTGTGTTCAATGATCTTGGACTTGGGATAGAAACAGCGCTTGTTTGACGACTGGATTGGGCTTGAACTGGTCGAGGTACTGCGATTGCTGATTGGTTGGTAGAAGATTCTGTCAAGTCTCTTCTCAATGCCTCGTTAGGACGATTTACTGGGGGATTTCGGCTCAATGTGCTTCCCATGCTGCTGGGATTGACGACTGCGCTCATGTTTCTACCCCCGTGATGACGTGGGTTCCCAGTAACCGGTAAGCCAGATTGAGCGACCTTAAGGCGCCTGATCTCTTCCTTGGCATCACGAAGTCTTTGGTGAAGAATGGCAATTCTCTCCTCCATATTCGCCTCAGCGGTCTCGAAGATCATTTGGGATGATGTTCTCACTGGCCGTGTATATGGCGTTGAAACAACGTGCGAATCGAGATATGTACGGACTTGTCTTTTCCAACGACGCAAAAGATCCGAAGCTTGGCTCTGGTGGAACCTTGTGCATAAAACATGAGGGGCTAAATCTTCTAGCAGTGTATCGATGTTCCGACCGGCTCGAAGGTCTTTGGTACCGTCATTGAGAAGCATCATTGCCCAACTGCGACCGCGCGCATTTGTGCGGGCGTGACAACGACGGCCCTGTGAAGGAGCGTAACCGGCGCACCAAGGTTCTCTCTCCGGTTCGAGTTTGATGATTTCCGATAGAGGAGCCATGGGCGAAGTTACGACATGGGAATATCGGGAAGGCATCATGAATTTATGGAATTCAGGGAATTTAGAGACAATCAATCGGAATATACTGTTGGGTATGAAAGGTTTCTGTTCGATTACTTTATAGCATCTGGAGCAGAACCACTTGTATTAATTACCTTAGGCTGCACGTCGAGCCTTGGAAGGATCCCAGTAGACATGGGAGGCTGCTCCGCCATAATAGCGTGGCGCAGCTCCCAGAATAGAAATTAGACAGCGCTAAAGGATTGAGAGATGCCTAAGGACTGATACCATTGAGCATTGACACTATGAGGCATGGTAGAGAGCTATCTCGGGGCTGTGTTTGCGTCGGGATGAAAAGAGGGGTTATCAGGCGTCTGTTGATGCTCAGCGGCTTTTGATAGGCTCTGAGAGACAGATACATGGAACTTTTGTCATGCGCAGTGACGCTAAATTAGGTACTCTTTTCGTCATTGGCTATTAATATATAGTTTTGCGGTTGCCTACGGGAAGCACAGAGGAATGCGGGCCGCTCTATTTAGCGCACTTGGGTGCTGTGAACATGCCAGTCCCCAGTCGATACCCCGCAGTTTTACCAATAGGCCATCGAGAGCCAGCCAACCTATCCGTTAGCAAGGCACGTGTAACCCGACATACTGTAAAGAAATTGATTTGATTCGCAGTAGGCCGAGCACTACAGTAGCGACCGCTTTCGCCTTCCGTGTCGGAAAACACTCAGGAGCTTTTTCAAACCCTAATCACATGCGGTGCTAAGCCGTATATGGCTAACTTCGTATTTGAGGATTCGTTACAAGGCCGAATGGTACTGGAAGACGCGCGCGTTGCTCGCATCGGCCCTGAAACGAAGAACCGGAAAGGTGAGACAGAAACGGAAAAGAAAGATTAAATCGTGTGGATTGATCTCGAGTTACATGCAAATCAAGATTGACCAATGGAAGAGCAAAGGGATCTGACCTCTAAAAGATTCTAATGTAACTTTGTTGAGAAAACTAACATTTATATAATGTATTTCACAAGCGAGTGGCCAGCACAAGCGAGTGGCCACCCCAAAACACCATAGTAAATGCGATATATTACAACTTCATAACTCAACAACGGTGGTCTATAGGGACTTTTCTTTATAGCATAGCATAGTGCTTTATATATGGTATCTAGCATATATAGGGAGCTTTAGGAAAATTCATATTACGATTATATATTTCTAGCTTTGAGGAACGTAATTTTTGGTAATTTTTGAAATGAGAGTAAGACAGTATTCTACTCTCTTTGAAATTGATATATAGTACTAATAAGTCTTATCAATGACTATCGACAAACGGGGAGATAGGATGAACATATGGTTGTTGAGATATAAATATGGAATATATCGCATTTACTATGGTGTTTTGGGGTGGCCACTCGCTTGTGCTGGCCACTCGCTTGTGAAATACGTTATGTGCCTTTTACATTTACATAGTTTGCCCAGCAAAACGCAATCCGTTTCATAGGGGTGGCTGGCTTCCGCCCCTACTCAGCAGTCTTCATGGTGAAGCCTACAGTAGTAGGATTCAGGAATGCAGAGAGGAGAGAGTTGTATTGGGAGAAGAGGGAGCAAACTCCCAACAACTATCTAGACTAACTAACTAACGTATTTCACAAGCCAGTCGGCCACACAAGCGAGCCGGCCACCCCAAAACACCATAGTAAATGCGATATATTCCACATTTATATCTCAACAACCACATGTTCATACTATCTTCCCGTTTGTCGATAGTCATTGATAAGACCTATTAACACTACGTATCAATTTCAAAGAAACCAGAAGGCTCCATTGTCGTTATTTCAAAAAATACCGAAAATTACGTTGTAAAAAGCTATATATATATATCACAATCACTAAGTCGTATATGCTCCTAAAATTCCGCAAAGAGGCTATATGTCATCTAAAAAGCATTAAGCTATAAGGGAAACTCTTTATATACCACCGTTGTTGAGATACCACGTTGTAATTTATCGCATTTACTATATGTTTTGGGGTGGCCGGCTCGCTTGTGTGGCCGACTGGCTTGTGAAATAGTTACGTTATGGAGAGGTTGGTGCCTTAGGAACCAGGCATCCGCAACATGTCGGAATAGATGCATTGGCATACCGGCATACCGGAGGATCCATTGATCCTACGCATTTTGTAATTTTAGATTAGTAATCGACGGCTTATATAAATTGTTAGGAAAGTCGATATAGTAATATAGAGAGTTGAACACTATTAATTGGACCCTACATTTTTTATAATACGGCCTACGCCGATAGTTATAAGCCCGGTTCGTACTAAATAAGACTACTATAGTTAGAATATAGTTTCTAGCCCGCTACTAGAAGTGTCTTATAACCCCTAAAGCTATCCTAAAGCTATATAAGCTACCCCTAAATCTAGTAATAGAGGTAGTATCAATCCTTTCCGCTATAAAGGGCGAAAAACTAAAGGACTCGCTATAATAGCTTACCTAGTTTATAAAGATATAGCTATATACTATATAAAAGAACGTATAGGATCTATATAATCTAGACCTTACCTTATTAATAACCGATCCCGCTAATAAACGGCCTAAGCCTCTCTAAGAACCGGTAGAACCCGAATACCCTAAAAAAGGCGATAAAAAGGACTAAAGGATCTAGCGAGACTATATAGATATATATAAAGTGAAGTATATAAGATAGGAGAAGTAGATAAAAAGACTAAGCGATATAAATAAATATATCCTTATATACTTTAATCTAATCTACTATCTCTCTTTAGTTATATATTATACTCTATATAATAAGCTTATATATTTAAAGTCTTATTTTACCCGATCGATTATATATAAAGAAGAGATCTATATAAAATAGAAGGTTTTTATAATATAGAAGCCGACTAGAGATATCGAGGAATAGCTCTAATAGTAGAACTTATTAAAAGAGTAAGCTATTAGCTTTAGTATTAATAATAGAGATATAAATAGGGACTTTTTATACGCTATAAAAGAGGTGCTTCCTATCTAGTAGTAAGGGAAATATTAGGAGATTATTATAGATAAAAAAGTATATAATACTTAAGATCTTCTCGAATTATTCCGCGCTATAAATTATAAGATAGGTATTTAAATTATAATCTTAACTAATATTCTAAAAGGTATATTTTTAACCTAGTAAGGATACTAAAAAATAAAGCCGGAAGTAAAGTAAGAGAAGTTCCTATTTAAGAAGAGACGCTATCTATATAGTAGTATATATCTAAAGTATAAGATCGCTATTTACTATATTATAAATAAAGTAATTCGACCGGAGGGATATATATTTAATAAGCGTATATTAGAGAAAGTGAAGAAGAAGTTAGTAAAAGACCTCGTTTAGAAATAATAGATTAATAAAGTAGTTACTAAAGCTTAGCTAAAGGCGGAATATACTAACTAGGTTAGCTTTACTACTATCTATTAAAAGTATAAAGTTATATAGATTAGTAAGTATATACTATCTATAGTAAAAAGTGATAAGCCCTCCCTATATAATCGATAGATTCTCGATATCGGATCGAGTATATATATCTATAATAATAGGAGCTTATTTATTAACTTTACCTTAGATAATATAGAAATTTTAACTAAAGATAGTACTATAAAGATATTTAGTAGGGGTATAGCTCGCCTAGTAGGAAGATACCTAGTAAAAGGAAGGATAGAGATTATATTAAGTAATACTCTATACTTATCTAGCTTCTATATAAATCTAGTATTATACGCGATACTAAGGAAGAAAGGTAGCCTTTAGTGTTAAAAGACGAATTATATATAGGATCCTAATAATAGGCCTATTATTAGTATATATTTCTAAGATTATTTTAATCTTTAGCTTTTTAATAAGCCTAGTAAAACTCCTCTATAATAGGTATATACTACCTAAGTAGGCGTATAGAACTCGGTAAAGCTATAGTAATTAAAGGCTTCTTCCGAACTATAGTATCGGCGTTTAGCCTATATTAAACTATATACTATAGCGAAGCTTTTTAGTATAGTAGATAGTATTATTCTTAAAGATAAAGAGTCGATAAAGGAGCCGAAATCTCTATATTAAGTCTATAAGATAGAAAGTGCTCCGAGATAGATATTAAAAAGACTAGTTAAACGTACCTTTAGATAATTCGGAAGGGTATATTTCGATCTAATTTAACTACTACTAGTATATAATAGATATCGTTAGATATCTTATTTCTACCTAAAAGGACCGAGGTTCTATTAGATTATAATATATAAAGTTAAACCGGAATACTAGCTTATAATAAAGGAGTTTATATAGCTAGTAAAGAATTAGTAGAAGCTACTAATTAAGGCTTTCTACTATAATAATAAAGCTATAGTAGGTAGAGTAGCGGAGTATAGTCTAATAGCTAATAGTATCTTAGTATATTATTCTCTATCTAGATACTTAGAAATAAATAGATATACTAAGAGATCTAGTAGGATAATTATTACCTATATATATATACTCGCTTTTAAAGGGAAGTTTCTTAAAGACCTATAGCTAGAATTTATAAGCGCCGCTATATAATTATTAAATTATACGCTATTATATATTACTACTAAAAACCGCTAGGTAGTTCTATAGGAAGAAGTTAGGAAGGAATTTATACTAGTAATATTAAAGACTAATTTATTAAATATCCGCTTATATAGAAGTATAGCGTACTATAGAATTAAGAATTAAATATAATCTAATAAAATATACTTTTAAATAGAGATTAGCTTTTTAATAGGATACTATACCTTAAATATCTAGAAGATCTAGTTTTTATATAGTAGAAAGGTAAAGTATATTAGAGATATAGTTATTAATAAAACCTAAAAGTATATATCTAAGTATAATTAGTATCGGCCGATTCTATTACCTTTAGTAAGATAACTATAAGAACTTACTACTAAAGAGATCGCTTAAGTAATTAACTATAAAATCACTAGTTAATAGACTAGTATAATAGAGGAAAGTCGGGGTATATAGGATTAGGATAATCTTTAGTAGTATAACCTTTAATACTATAATCTTTAGTAGGAAAGTCCTTAGTAAGTATAGGAGAATCTTTAATAAATATAAGATACTCTTTAGGAAGTGATTTAAGAAATAACTAGTAAAGTAAGTGCTTAATAAGAGACTACCCTAAATTAGGGGATAAAAAAAGAAGTATATTAGCTAATATCTAGCTATCTACTAGTATATATAGTACTATTAGATATATTTCTAAAGGATTAGGAGCTACTACTACTATTAATCACTCTACTATAGGAAGAAGAAGCGAGTACTAGCTCTAATTAAAAGGTAGATATATAGGCTAATTAAGAAGATCTAGCGTATTAAAACTAGACTTAGTATAAAGACTAGATTTAGTATAAAGATTAGATTTAGTATAAACCTACTCCTAATTCTATAGAAGACGAGCTAGAAAGGTAGCTATAGTCTAAACTACTAGTACTAAGTAGAGAGATAGTTAGTAATATTAATACCGGTAATATACTAAGTAGAAGACGAATATATAGAGTAAGAAGAGATAATGATTTTATATATATAATAACTACTATAGTATAGAAAGAAGAGCCTTTAGCTCTACTCTATACCTTTACCGCTAGTTTATATATAGAGAAACCGGATAGTTATTATTATCGAGATAATTTTTTTTCTACCGCCGAAGTATTAGAAGGATATTATAAATTACCTATATTAGGAAGGCTTCCTTATAGTAATAAAGAAAGAGATTAATTCGCTATCTAAAAAGGAGATATTTAAAATTATTAATAGGCTAAAGGATAGAGGGAAGTAGATCCTTCCTCTACTATAGGTTTTCTTATATAAATTTAACTAAGATAGCTACCTATTAAAACTAAAGGCTTATATCTATATATAAAGAGATCTTAAAACTATTTCCTATAAAGAGAAAAGGGCTACTATATTAGTAGTAAGAATAGTAAGGATAATCTTTATATTAGTAGCTACTTTTAATCTAGATTTATAATAGCGGGATACTATTACTATATTCTTAAATAGTAAGCTAGATAAGAAAGAGACGTATACCTATATACTAGAAGGGTTCTAAATCCTAGATAAGTACTAGAAACTACACTATACTTTATATAGACTATATATCTTACTAAAACTATAGTAGCGAGAAGTAGTAAGTATATTATATAAGCTAGGGTTATAGTAGATACTAGAAGATCCTTATATCTTTATAGGATAGGGCTTACTAGTCTTCTTCTATATAGATATTATTCTAATCGCTAGTTATAGTACTACTAAAGTATAAGTATAGTAGCTAGAGCGAGATCTAGAAATATACTAGAAGCTAATAGATTATAAAGAAGCGGTATAGTTTCTTAATATCTAGATTATCCGAGATAGATAGTAGAAGAAGCTTTAGCTCTATTAGGATAGCTATATAATAAGTATTACTACCTAGTATAAGCTAATAGACTATCTACCTATCTATATACTACTACTAGTTAATAAATTAATACCCTACTAAAGTATAGCTATACTAAAAGAGATCTATTTATACTAGTAGAAGGTTAGATCTATAGGATATATTACTATAATTACTAGACTAGATATTATAAAAGCTACCGCTCGGCTTATATAGTTCTTTATAAATCTAGGTCTTTAGTACTAGTAGGTAGCTAATCGAGTTATTATCTATCTTTATACTATCTAAAATCTAGCTATTAAATATAGTACTAGAATAGCTAGTATAGGAATAGACTTAATATAATTTATAAGCGATATTTTATATAGGGACTACCCTAATAGAAAGAGCTTAGCTAGATATATCTACTAGGTATATAGCGGCCTAGTTAACTAGAAAGCTAGTAAATAACCTATAGTAATAATCTCGACTATAGAGGTAGAGCTATTAGGCCTAATAGAAATAGGAAAGTAGCTCTAATAATAGTAGCGATTATTTAATAACTTTATATTTATCCTATCTTACTATCTAACTATTAACTATAATAATAAACGGACGATTAGCCTTTTAATAGGCGAGGATATAGCCTTTAAAATGAAGCTATAGTATATAGATATATACTACTACTAGCTAAAGTAGGAAGTTAGAGTAGGACGTATTATAGTATATTAGGTAGCGATAGCGAATATAGTTACTAATAGCCTTATAAAGCTACTATCTAGATAGAAGTATAAGAACTTTATACGACTACTTCGGATAGTTAATATAGGCTATTTTATAACCTAGGAATTAAGGAAGAGAATAGATCATATAGTATACTAATATATAAAGTGTAGCGATCTTAGTATATATACTATAACCGCTAAGGGGGTGTGTCGGAATAGATATATTAGTATACCGGCATACCGGAGGATCCATTGATCCTACGCATTTTATAATTTTAGATTAGTAATCGACGGCTCATATAAATTGTTAGGAAAGTCGATATAGCAATACAGAGAGTTGAACACCATTGATTGGACCCTACATTTTTTATAATACGGCCCACGCCGACACAACACTTCAACCTTGCTGCCTTTGAGTGTTTCTAGATTTGAGTCAATCCTTCCACGTTTGCTTCTTATCCCTCGATCTATCTCATATTAATTGGCTAACGCTCAGTACACTGTTTCTAACTAAGTCAGAACCCACCGAATAAAATGCGACGAGCAACGTCCCAGATGTCGCCGGTGCACTTCCGCCGGACGAAGCTGCCCCGGATATCCCCAAGCTTCCAGCTCCCAACCTGAAATCAAAATGTACAATATTCCTTTTAAAGTACCCGGCAGTCGCGCTGACCGCGAACTACTTTATTTCTACTGTCGCGAAGCAGCCAACTCCTTATCTCGACTCTCGGATACTACGCTGTGGACGAACCTCATTCTACAGAGATGTCAAGGCCAATCCGTTATCCGCAATTCTATTGTTGCGCTCACTTCCCTGTATTGCGACTATATGCTTGTTAGATCACCGCAGCTTGAAGTCTCAGTCAAACATATCCAGCGTACTACCAAATCGCACTCTCAGCTTCGTGCACATCTTACCCGGCAGCCTTCAGCTGAGATTGCGCTTATCTGCAGCCTCATATTCTATACTTTCGAGTGTTTGATCGGCAATGTCCAACAAGCATTATGGCATCTGGATCGAGGTCTGATTCTCATGCAAAGGTTGCAGACGGATTATCCGCATCTTGTGGATGGCCAGGAGACATATGCGGAGTTGCTGGTGATCTTCTCTCAGCTTGATATTCGTGCAAGTAATTTTTTCACTTGAGAGAACACCTATTCTCAGGCTTACGTTGCCGGAACAAGTCTCGGGGGTGAGGCCTACGGTTCCAGAGCGGATTTTTGGTCTATCCGATCTCGAGAACTCGCTTGGAAAGATAAGGAATTGAATATATACGTGTATGACGTGAATCTCGCGTAAAATGATTAGGCAGTGGCTGTCCTGGATCAAATCAACTCCGACCATCTCACCTACTCAATGTCCTGTCCTATATACTGTTGTTTAGCGCAAGATAACAGTGAGATGAAAGAACGAGAATTTTTCATTAAATCCCAATGAGCACGGACCCGGGAAGCATTCCTTTAGCCGCGCAATTGAAGCAATAATGCACAACTCTTCCATCGAAATGAAATGACTGGCCAGCTAAGAATAGCGCCCAGGACGGATTCTCACTGACTGAGATAAAAGAATGAAGATTGCCCCACTGGCCAACCGGTTTGTGAATCTTTTAGCCACCCATTTGGAAGCGGTGATGTTTACCACTTTGATCATACTTTCATGGCCAGAACAATTTTCTTGACCTTGGCTCAAAACTAAGGTGATCATTGCATCTTTAATTCCAGCGGTCCCTGTGGAGCGACCTCCGATACGCCCATTAAAGAGAATTTCGGGATCATCTGCAAATGGAGAGCGCTCAATACTCAAGTACAACGGGCTATCTGTATATCTCTTCTCTGGAAAATCGATGTGTGGTGTTGACAAGGACAAATCCTGAACCGAGGTGTCGGATTTATCGATTTTTGGTCTCGGGATATTTTCAACATAGAGGCTCTCACTGCTGCTGATAATCGCACCATTGGGCCGAACTGCTATATTTGGGCAAAATCCTTGGTAGCATCCCAATACTGGTGCATTTGAGGCAGGATCCATATCCGCAATAACAGCAGGTTGTACTGTAAATATCCCATGTCTCCAGCCGACAAGGTCTTCCTCAAAATTGAGATTTTGACTTGGTAGGGTATCGCAACCAGCATGGACAGCGGCTAAAAAGAAAACAGCACGACTGAGATCTAGTCTCCCTGAAAGGATATCATCGACCATAGGACAGATAGCGCGCTGCCAGTGATCGCCATCTTCAAGGTTAAGGTCAACGCAATGTCGGAGATTCTTGAAGCTTTCGCCAGCCAAGACTGAGGAGGCAGAAATAACGATAGATACTGTAATAACACTGAAAGTTGCCCAGTCCCTTTTTTGCTGCTTATTGTCACAACCACGGTTTCGTTGGAGAATGTATTCCAAGCTGTCGGGGTTTGATAATTGCTCATAGCACGGACCAAGGCGTTGCGCAGATTTCGGGAAAAAAAAGTGAGGCCAATCTCTTGGAAATAGGCGTCGATGTGGTCTCCCGACAGGTCCATTCGGGTTCCACAAATAGATTTTTGGTCCCTGCACGGTCGTCAAAATGCAACTGGTCGCTTTTATTCCCCCCTAAATCTTTGACTTTCAGATGGTGTTGTAGCTTTCCAGTTTAGACGCAGCTGAGATTTGACATGAGAATGTGTGTATTCAAAGAGAGTCTGAAACACTTCTGGAGGGATATTGACTTTGTTTCCCAGTGCGTTTGAGAACATTCCACCTGCTGTGCTGAAATGATAATGATGAATATAAGTTGGCATGACACAGCTGTCCGGTCCTCGAGAAATATATCGGTATCCCAAGTGCCACCTGTGACTAACACAACAGAGTTGGATCCAGAAGCCCGCGGTCGATCCCCAGCACCATCCCAGACTTGAATTTCACCAATGCAATATCCAACCGCTCTCATACAAGCAGCTAGCTGTATGACCAATTGCATCTTGTAATGTTTCTTTCCTAGGAACAGTAACCCATCGCAAGAAACTGTTTACATACAACATATCCGTGATGGCGACACCGTCTCTGCTTGTCTCGTCCTCATTCCAGCGCCGAAGCGCGTTCCAGCACCTTTGATTCAGCTGATCAACCGCATCTGCCAAGGTTATAGTCAGGCCTCGTGTGGCTCCTTCATTCAGAATCTTTGCATGGTTGTCAATCAATTGCAAATACAAGCTCTCGTGTGCTTCTGGCAACGTCAATAGATTTACCTTAGGCAAGGATTCATAAGGAGTGTAAGAGAGGGATTCTGGCAATCTGGCCTAATTTAGGCCCGTTCCCCTCCCTTTCTCTTCCTCTGTTGTCTTGGCACGACGTGACGTGATTTGCGGTGAGGAGGAGATCAGCCTCGAATCAGAACTGCTTGTTACGCGCGAACTACTCCGGACCGACCCATCCGCCAAGTTCCATAATTAATAGTTGGTAGAGAGACCCTCTCATTCCCCACGTACTCCTCACGGCCTAATTCCACCCTCTTTCATCTTGTTAGCACATCTACATTCTGTGTCAGTGTACCTTTTCAAGTTAGACTATAGCATCTATGTAGGAATGAAGTGAGAATAAAGTGAGAATAAACTGAAACAAAAGGTAATAGAAAGATGGCGCGAACGCGATGTCTCTATCTAGTAGGTGCTAGCTCGCCGGAGTAGAGATGGTTATCGTTTTCCTTCCTTCTCATTTTAACATTCACGTGTGATTCTATATAATACGGCATGTGCGTCACACTCAAGTCACTCCGGGACTATTTCGAAAAAAAATATATTTCGGATAGAAGCAAATTATAGCAGAGCAAAAGAAGGGCCTCTAGACTTATATTCATGTCATTTGTCAGGACGGGCATAGGCTTAAAGTAGGTTAGCCCCTATCGCGTTAAGAGTGAGAATTGTCCCTCTATCCTCACCTCTCACCCAGTTCACGCGCACTTACCCTAGTGTGTCGCTTACGTGCTGAGGGCGCATTGACCATTAACCGTGCAGAATACTCGGCTTATATATATATGCGGCTTATAGTTGGGTAGATGTTGCCCTATAAGAAATAGGTAAGCGCCAGTTTAGCGTCGACCGGGAGTAAGAAGGGTAGGTGCGCAAGAGGTACCCCCGGCCGATACCACCCACCCGAACTATCGACCGCATATAAGCCACTCACCAGTAGAATTAGTACTAGGGGTATAATAAAAACAACACGCCTATAAAGAAAAATTCAGTATAGGAGGGGAAGAGGGGGAAGAACACGTCAGCGATTCAGGGGCGTGTAGGATATTCAGGTGGGTGTAGAATAGTGGTGTTCACGGGATTCAGGTGAATAGGCTGAATGGGCTGAATGGACTGAAGGGTAGGGCGGCAAGAGGGGGATTTCCTAGCGAATCAAAAATAAAAAGGTGAACACGGACATACAACAGTGAGGATTCGCTGGTGGTCACCCACCCAACTACTAACTCACCGGCGTGTGGCTTAAGTACGGCTGAGCGGACGGGAAGCCCTGTTTTCCACACCCTATGGTCGTATGTGTGAGACTTTATATAAAGGAGTACTATAACATGAAATTATTCTAATAGTGCCTTACACTTCTCAAGCAAGCCCTAATCCGAATGGATAAGATAATACAAACTCCGGAGAGTCATTATGTGTGACAGAAAGAATGCTCAAGAATCCATTGGTCAAGGTGTTGTAAGAGGAAACTTTTGGTCCAAGAGATGAGATTCCATCCGCCGCAGCAAAATGTTGAATACAGAAACACGATCTGTATAGCATGTATGTAATGAGACAAAAATAATACTATGAAAAGTACTATGAATATGAAAAATTCCAATCTTGTATCCTGCAGAGAGTAAATGAATGATTTGTCTATCTTCTTCATACATGGAAAGGAGCATCTATTTATGCTCCTTTTTCGTATATCCCCATTATGGTAGAATAGAAAAGACTCGGTGAGAAAACAGGACTCGGTGAGAAACAACAACAACAAGAAGAAGCAAAAACAGACTGAAAGCAGGCCCAATTGAAATGCGAAGCGCTGATACAGTGAGATAATGATCTGTATACTGAGGACAGCAATGTCATGATCAAACTGCATATAGCCAAGGGAGCCAGGCTTCTTCTGGCAGGAGCCAGATTGCAGAACCTTCGTGTACGGGATCTGCATTCTTGATGGAGAGTTAGGGTTAGCGTTGCACCATGAAAAAGGCCAGTATTAATGAGAATTAACTGGGATTTTCAACACAAAAACATAGTGGTTTCCATTCTATATATATATCTAGCCCAGTCTATCCGTATAAACAAGTCTATCGCCAAAACGAAATAAAAGCGCCATCATCGCAATGTCTCCGCCAATCTGGCGCCCAGCTCTTTCACGCCGGGGTTTCTCATCATCGTGAAATGATCGCCGGGAATAACTGCGCATGTCACGGGGACTCCCGACACTAAGCTATCCCAGCCGTTGGGCCCGGCATTTCCTCGCGGGTCTAGGATCCAATCTTCGGCCTGGTTTCCGCGAATGCGGGCTAGATCTTGGAACCGAGACTTCCTTTCTTCACCCACTGTCTCCCAGACTCCGTTTTGCGCCCACAGAGCCAAAACGGACTTTGGTGCTTGGCTCGAGAAGGGGATTGGCTTGGGTTCGTAGGCTTTGAGTGCCTTGATTGAGCCGATAAAGTGTTCACGGACAGCCTGAGGAATGGAGCTCTGCTTCAATGGGGTCGAACCGCGCTTGTCGTTCTTCAGACCGTCGAACACCCCGATCGTTTCGAGGAGATCGACTGTCTCGATTGGGAGTGGTGGGTATACGCTCGGACACGGGGCATCGATTAGGACCAGCGACTCGATTGTCTCGTCCTTTTGGATCAACTGCGACGCGGCCTCGAAGGCAAAGGATCCGCCGATCGACCATCCACCTAAGCGATACGGCCCGTGTGGCTGGATGCGTTGGATCTCACGGACGTACATGGCGGCCACTTCTGGGATTGAGCAGTGGAAGGAAGACGGCGATTTCAGGAATGGGCTGTTCAATGCATAAACTGGACCGGGGGCGCTTAGCGAGGGCAGCCCAACATAGCTGCTGGCACTGCCGGAGCCATCAGGCAGCAGGAACAACGATGCGCACTGGGAGGCCGAAGGAGATCCCTGAAGCAGAACTGCTTC